TTCAGCATGTTAATGCCTTAATGCTTCAGTTCAAGGAAAAAATTCATTAAAATTGTCATGAAATTTCCCTTACTTTGGGCGTGAATCAAAGGAAAGCTCTTCAGAAAATGTTAAAAGGAAGAAATCTATGAAAAGTGCAAATCTTGGTGGTCGTATCCTATTGTCTGAACTCTACCCTTACGATTCCATTCAGATAGGAGGCTTCTACGTTAGTTTGACAGTTTTTACTATTGTTTATTTGTTTATACAGGAGCATATCAGATATCGGCTGTATCTTCAGCGAGCACTAAGGCGAACTCATTGTACATTAATCGCTCTAGTGCGTGTATATGCTATAGCATAGGATCGAAGCAAAGGGGCAACAAGTAAAAACAGTTTTATAATCAGGAGTGCTATTTAGACCATGCTGTTATAGCTATTTATCTACCATCATGGTGCCTTTTGATCTCATCAACAGTATTTACGCGGACGATCACGATTTATTTATTCGGGTAAACAGTTGTTAACTAATTATTTTTCAATTTTTATTGGAAGTTCAGATGGATTCAAGCGCTATGCTTGCGTCATGCTTGTGTAACAACGAACCTGTGCATTTTGACGTTACGCAAGGCGAACGTGCAAATTCGCTTTTGCACCACATTGTGCTTAGGTCGGTTTAATCTATCTTGAAATTTCTAAATTGCTAAAGTCACTGTTAAGGGCAAATGCGGCAAACTTTTGTGCACTACTTTTCAAAATCAACAAAGAGTATTTTTCCAAACTTCTCAAACCGTTCGCAGTCTTCTCAAAGGTAGTCAGATTACCAGATTCTCAGATGATGCTGGCTTATGAATTTTGTTGATTTTCAGGATCTCAAAGGTGCAATAAGTCCTCAACACTTACGCTGTCAAGCAAAAATAATAGTTTCTCAGAACTCACGTTTACAACCTTCTTTGAAAACTATTCGCGAGCCATATGCACTGTTTCGAAGGAAATATTCCCGTCCTCGCTGCGATGTCGAACCTCAGATAGACCGAAAAGAAGCTAAATCGAATTCTTGTTCACAAACACTACAAACATCCACGCTATCATCAGGCTATTCACTGCCTCAAATTCCTACCGGAAGCGCTGTAGCGGAATTACCAGCGCTGAAGCTGACCTCCTATCATCAAGGCACGGCCGACGATGACTTTCGCAATATTGTGCATAGCTTTGAAGCTCTAGGTGAT